TAGATAGATGATAGTGTTACGAAACCCTAGCTAAATTGATTATAAAACTATACCATTGCTTATATTCATTCTAAAATAAAGAGTCCAGACCTTGCGGGAACGTAAAGATCGTAAGAGATAGGTAGATTTAGTGGCAACAAAGAGTAACCAGAATGTACCTTTTCTTTCTCTTTTGGTCAACGTGTTGACAGCATGATTTACACGGATAGATTGCAGACGACCTCATTTGGCCCACAATGGGAAAAAGTTCGTATTTGAAAATTGACCACGTGACAAGAAAAAAAAATGAAAACGAATAATGAAACGAAAAAGGTTAGTCTTGTCCAGGCCTTAGGGCCGGACGGACGTGTTTGCAAAAAATACAAGAGTCTTGTCTAGACCTAAGGGCCGGACGGATGTGTTTGCGAAAAATACAAGAAAGAGAATTCATTTTGAATGGAATAGATGGACCCGTTTGCTATGAACGCAAAAGTTTTGGTTGGCTATGCAGAAAAAGAAAAGTCCCTCGTCGAACCTCGAACGGACGACCGAACGCAATCGCGTGGAACGCAAAAGAAATGTTTGAATTCTGGGAAATCAACTACGACGTATGCGGAATGTCGCTACATCGGGACGAAAGAGAGATAGAAGGGAGCTTCGATTTATCCGTCACCCAAATCAAGAGTCCAGACGCTTATAGAAAAAGAAAATAAGAAATCAAGAAAAGATCCCAAAAAGAAATACTTATGGGAAAAGGAAAGAAAGGAAGAAAAGATCTCAAAGAAGAATGCTGCCACATCGAGACGAAAGAAAGAAAGCAGTTTCAACTTAATCGTCACCGAAGCCACTAAACAAATGACGAAAGAGAAAAGAAAGAAAGTAAGAAAAAAAAACACCTCAAACAAGAATGCTGCTACACTGAGACGAAAAAAAGAAACAAAGCAGTTTCAACTTCATCGTCACCCAAGCACCTAGACAGGACGAAAAGAGAAATAGAAGAAGTAAGAAAAGACCTCAAAAGGAGACGCTTATAAAAAGAAATAGAAAAGGAAAAAGCGAAAAGAAAAAAGTAGATATAAGAGACATTAGTGGAAAAGAACTTTTATTACGAGATAAGTTCGTTGTTTTTCTTGTGCTTCATTTTTATTTAAATTTACTTCTTTTTTTATGTTTGAACTTTTATGCAAGTTTAGCATGAGATCCTCTTTTATTACATGTTTCTTTCTACTCGTCTTAAAATTTCTGATGTTCTATAAATTCGTGCAAGTATGGCACACGGTCATTATTTGATTTGTGTTTTACCTTGCTAAGAAGATGTTCCCTTCCCACTATTTTGTCCACAATGTTTAAATGTTTATTCTTGACACATTGTCATTTTTGTTTTGACCCATGTTTTTGCGTTTCCTTAGTCAATTCTGCTCGGCCGTGTCTGACCAATCGGAAAGAGACCCTTGGGAAAGAAATATAGTTTAAGAATATTGAATAAATATTAAAACAAAAATAACACAGGTAACGACCCTTCTCTACCTTGGCTATCAATAGGGTTGGAGGAACAACGAATTGGTTGGTTGGTTGGTTTGGTTTTATGGCATATCAACCACTGTAGGTCATTTAATGTCAAATTATGCTATATATATATATATATATATATATATATATATATATATACACGCATGCACATACATATACTCATATATATATTAAATATACAGTACTACTAAACGTATGGCTGGCAACATTATTTTTTTAAAAACTTATAGCTGGCAACATTATGGTTTCAAAAACGTATAGCTGGCAACATTATTTTTCCGAAAATATTATCTGAGGCCTTGCTGCTGGACGTAGTTTATCGTCATACCTAGGACGCGGATGTAGTTTATCGCCATACCCAAGACGCGGATGTAGTTTATTGGTATACCCAGGACGCGGATGTAGTTTATCGCCATACCCAGGACGCGGATGTAGTTTATTGTCATACCCAGGACGTGGGTAAGAGCTGGAAAAACTAGGAGTTCACTATTTGCCCATAGCTGGGACCCTAACAGGTGATACCACCCCGGGTCAAAGTGAATCTGGGAACACCAGCAATTAAGAGGTGGTTCCACGCTCCTCAAAACCTCCTGATCAGAGGCCTTGCTGTTGGATGCAGTTTAACGTCATACCCAGGACGAGGAAGGAGGAGGGTCGTAAAAATAGGTAGATCGATCTTAACAGATTGAGATACTTGAATAGATGTCAGTTAGAGTGAGATATGGACAGATTGAAATATATGAAAATAGATAGATAGATGCGAACAGACTATGCGAGATAGATAGATAGATAGATAGATAGATAGATGATAGATAGATAGATAGATAGATCAGCCCAACATTGGTAAATTACCTGATAAATCTCATAATCATTCATTTCCACCGCAACTACAAAATAAAATCAGGAGTAATTCTCGTATCTAGAAAGAGAATTTCTAGCCATCAATATTTTGATGATGAAGCGAACTACATTGAAAATACTTCAAACTCCA